CTGACGTCTATTGAGGGGGCTGGAGGAAGTGGGGGAGGGGAGAGTGGGGAAGAAAGAGAGGATGGGGAGGAATAAGGGAAGGGAGATGGGGAGGAAGGAGGGAGGAAGGAGGAGGAGGTTGGAGATGAGAGGAGGGGAGGGTTGGGAGAAAAGGGAGGGGTGGGGAGAGGAGGGGAAGGGGTTGGGGAGGGGAGGGGTTGGGAAGGGAAGGGAAGGAGGGAGGGGGATGGAAAAGGGGAGGGTGATGGGAAGGAAGGAGGGGGAAGGAGGAAGCAGGGGAGGGGAAGACGGAGGAAAAGGGGGGAGGGGGAGGAGGGGGATGAGTTAACAGGGAAAGTAACAAGATTCCGGATATTTAATTACGAAGGAAGGAAAATCACTGTTTATTCTTATCATGAGATTGATGCAATTATAGTGATCATGTGAGATTAACTATAAGTGAACGAAATCTATGAGGCGAAGACAACCAATGTTTGGTGTATTTTCGTTTGAGTTTAATAAAAATCTTAGAATTTAACATAGAATCACTGTTTTCAAGTATACGCTTCTTAACAATGGGAAATTCCGCGTCTTACAATATATTTCACGAGTACATTTCCTCTTCACCAGATACGCATGTTTGAGTATCTTAGTCTTCAAACTACGCAACATATTTCCACAGCTTTAGTTTATCTTTTCGAATACATAAAGTTCGGAGTCGGAAAAATAAATAAATAAATATATTCTCCAAATTGTTATGAAATATATATTCTTCGGTAATGGGAAAGTTTCGAGTCTAATAAAACATTTTCGAGAGACTCCGGGGCGCTTAACAAGACAAGTTGATATATGTTTACGATGGAGACTTTAAGAATTGACCATGAAACTTCTGCTGCCTGTTAAGGGTGTCGCGTCACCTAGAGTACGAGGCGTCCTGGTCATGACCATTAATAACTTCTCCTATCCTCGAAAACATCCCTGACTCCTATTAGAACATAAGACTATCCCGAACGACCTCAGAATCTGGGTTAAAAACTCTAGTATTATGTTACACGGCAAGAATCTCTCCTACCTCGGGCTCCATTAGGTTATTCTTAATGTTGTTTTAGATCTCAGGTAGGAGTCGCTTATCCTTTACAATGACTAAAAGCTTATCTTAAAATGGGGAGGACAGACTCTCCCACACCTCCTATCCTCGGGTCCGTAAAACACTTGGGTGGGACCTATCTACTCCTGCACTTTATCCTATCCTGTAAGACATTTGGCGAGGAGCTATCGTATTCTATCCTGCAAGACGATTGGCTGGGGCGTATCTCATACCCTGGAGGGGAACTCTACTAGTGTGTTCCCCAGACTTGATTCCCAGTCGAGCTGCACCCGAAATCAGCCTTGGAAACTTGGTTACTTGGATTGCGAGAGAGAGAGAGATTGCATAAAATGATTTGGGTTTGAAAAGAGATCTAAAATGAAGATGTGGTAAAAACTAACAAAAAATTAGATCAAAGTAACAAAAGGAAGAACAAACTTACAAAAAGTGGATCAAACTCATAAAAAAGTGGATCAATCTAACAAAAAAGTGGATCAAACTCACAAAAAGATGGATCAAACTAACAAAAGATGGATCAAACTAACAAAAGATGGATCAAACTAACAAAAAGATGGATCAAACTAACAAAAAGATGGATCAAACTAACAAAAAGATGGATCAAACTAACAAAAGATGGATCAAACTAGCAAAAGATGGATCAAACTAACAAAAAGATGGACCAAACTAACAAAAAGATGGATCAAACTAACAAAAAGATGGATCAAACTAACAAAAAGATGGATCAAACTAACAAAAGATGGATCAAACTAACAAAAAGATGGATCAAACTAACAAAAAGATGGATCAAACTAACAAAAAGATGGACTAAACTAACAAAAAAATGGATCAAACTAACAAAAGATGGACTAAACTAACAGAAGATGGATCAAGGTTACTATGATTGGCTGAGTGACTAGTAAGAGGATGTGATTGAGTATACTGTTTCCGTCTCGTCCCTTATTTTTTTTATTTATTATTTTTGTTGAGGTTTGTCGAGTCTCTTTTTCATCATCCTTTCTGTTTGTCTGTTTGTCAGTCTCTTTTTGTGTGTGTTTGTTTGTCTCTGTTTTTCCCCCTTTCTCTGTCCCGCTCTCTCAATTGTTTGTCTTTCTGTCTGCCTGCCTGCCTGCCTGCCTGTTTCTCTTCCTCTGCCCCTCTCTCTCTTTTGTGTGTCTGTCTCTCCTTTCTGTCTGTATTTTCTTTGTCTCATTCTCTCGTTTCCGTCCTTCTCTCTCTCTCTCTCTCTCTCAGGCCCTCGATCAAGACTCTAACTTGTCCAGTAGTGAAACCTTCAACACTTTCCTTCAGACGATTAACAAGGAAAGTTTGGCGGATATTTTTTTGTTATTTTATTTGTGTTTTCCTTCAGGCGTCTGTGTTGTCCAGCACTCCAGTTCACTACACTCTGGACCAGGGAGGAGCTGCGATGGTCCATGTGGGACAGTCTTAATTCCAGGGACGGTTCATGGGTTGGTGGTCCAGTGAGAGGGTTAATGTGGGATGATTCAAGAGTGGTTCATGGGTTGGTCCAGTGAGAGGGTCAATGTCGGATGATTGTCCATAGGCAGTTCATGGGTTGGTCCAGTGAGAGGGTCAATGTCGGATGATTGTCCATAGGCAGTTCATGCGTTGGTCCAGTGAGAGGGTTAATGTGGGCTGGGTTCATGGGCAGTTCATGAGCTGGTCCAGTAGAGAGGGGTCAATATAAACAAACCCAGATCCAGGAACGGTTCACGGGGTTGGTGGTCCAGTTAACAGCCTCCTTGACCGGTCCATCCATCCCAGATACCAACACCACTGACACACTATGATGATATTAATAACTATAACCTAATATTTCCATCCAGGTATTAATTACAGCTTCAGTACTCCAGCAACAGGTGACACACTATGGTAATGTAATATCTCGCCATCAAGTCACACACACACACACACAGAGGACCAAGATGAGACCACTGTGCTTCCTCATCCTGATCAACGACGCTCTATCGGACACTCCTCACAGGTGGAAGTACGTGGATGACTGCACTGTGGGGGTTACAGTGGACAACACCGCACCAGACTACTCATCGCTACAAGGCACCCTGGACAGGCTACAGGCATGGACTACGGAGAACAAGGTCACCATCAACCACACCAAAACCATAGTCATGCACATCAATACCGCCACCACTCCAGTGCAAGCTCCAGCAGTCACAGTGGGTGCCCATCCTCTCCAGTTAGTGCAGTCTGCCAAACTCCTGGGTGTTACCATAGACCACAAACTGGACTGGAAGGCCCATGTAAATAACACAATCAAGGCAGCCTCGTACCGACTCTACATGCTACGACGACTTAGGTCACTTGGGGCACCCACGCCAGAGCTGAGGACTATCTACAACGCCTTTATTCTCCCCAACTAACGTATGCGTCACCAGCCTGGTCGTCTTCTCTCAACTCCACCCAACAACGTCGGTTAGAGAAGGTACAGAAAAGGGCCTGCAGAATCATGCTCGGTGCAGAATACTCCGGCTACACCAATGCTCTCTCCACCCTGGAAATGCCATCCCTCAGTGACCTCCACCACCAAGCACTGGCAAGGTTTGGCAGTGAACTACTGCACCACCCTCGTCATCGCCAACTCCTGCCACCGGCAGTCCCCCACCTACCTCAGCCACTACAACAAAATTCAGCCCATAAGAGCCCGCACGGATAGATATAAGAACAGCACCATCCCATCTATTGTTAAAATAATAAACATTTCCTGATTTATGTACTGTACAGCCCTGTAAATGTGAACAACGCATATTATATCATTATGTCTATATCAAATGTAAGTCTGTATATTTCCAGCCACCGGCTGCAACCATATTAATAAACCCTTTATTATTATTATTATTATTATTATTATTATTTTACACACACACACACACACCTACCTCTAGGGCTATGGCAACATCTGGTGTTTGTGCTCTAGGCCTCGGAAATGTTTTTATCTTCCCGTTAACGTCTGTAATCTCCCTGTATATTTACGATCTTTGTGCTGGAATTCAACTGTGTATTTCAATCACTGTCTACGTTAAAATATTCATTCTTTGAGCTCCCTTAAATGGTGATCTGTAATATCCCTTAAAAAAAGTAGTTTCCATCGGTTTTTAATCTCCCTTAAAACTTCTGAGCTTCTTGTGTTTAATCTTTCTCTGGTGAAAGTTTCGGTCTAGTTTGTTCGAAAGAAAAGTTTCAGGCAACCGTATTTGTCCGATCCCAAGTCACACACACACACACACCCCTTGCCCAAACTTTCTATATTTTCGACCGACTCTGGTTTTCTAATGTCGTGTAACCTGGTTTGATCTTACGTGAGTTACTTGCCTTAGAGGACGCCTAAGCTTACATAACATCTTAGGTCCGTATTCTCTTAGACTCTTAAGGCCAAGAAAATGTATCTAATTACGGGGGAAACTTTGGTGTAATACTAGAGGAATATCATCCAGTTCAGTTTTATTCAGCAATATCGTCATACAAGTTTACATAGACTCAGTATATGTATAAACAAAGTAGGCATACAATTCAGCATGTATAAAGACGATGCAGTTACAGTATACACTTCAGCATGTCTACATATAAAGAAGGTAAACAATAAACATACAGTACAGATGTTGTTTTCACTAGTCGCTGTATTACGTCGTCGCTGAACTGAGTCATTTATAGATTAACTCCTTCACTCCGGGGACGCCACTGTTGATATTTTATTTGACTAACGCCAGACTCTTTTATTCAGCTCAGAGGCGACACCACACACAAGAGGTTAATAAACTATCTCCACTAATGTCTCCTGTGATGCGTGTCTCACCTGTGTAGCTCCTGAACACGACTTACCTGTATGACAACCCACCACCCGTGACACACGACTCGGCTATGTAACACCTGACCAACTCATTGTGACTCGACTCACCTGTGTGACTCCGGCACCTTGATGACCTGGCCGTTCTTCCTCCAGCGGACGAGAGGCTCAGGGTGTCCCCGGGGCGGGATACACTCAAGCAGCGCTGACTCCCCCGCTGCCACCACCGTGTCGGCCGGCGTCGCCCGGAAGTCGTCGCGTAGAACTGTTAAGGAAGAAGACAATATTGTAAGTCGGGCGGAAAGTATATATTTATTAGCACGATTGAAAGTATTCATTTATAAGTGAAACAACACAGTGACATAATTACGAAAAATTAAGCTTACAAAACTATAAGTACTGTACAGATAAAATAAGAATAATTCACTGTAATAAGAAAGGGGAGCAGTTATTATACATCACTGGAAAATTTTAAAAGACTAAGAATCATAAATAAAAATTCACGATAATCCATTACGACTAAACCTGCGTAGGTCACAGTGAAGCATTACCTTTATGATAATTATGTCATCTGAAGCCAACTATACCATACCTGCACTGTATAGCTAGATCCTTATACTACACCGATATTTCTGAATAAACTTTAAGATTATGAATCAATATTTCCTACACGCGGATTCTCTTCTCACCAGATGACAAACCTCTTCATTATGTCAGACATTTGCCGATGAGATAAGACGAAAATGTGGCCATAATTTACAGGCGATTCCTCCACCTCAAGTCTTCCTGGGAATGATGTCAGACTCTCCAAGGTGCTGGCAGGAGGAGGGGGGGCGGGGGCAAAAGACAAATATTTCTTTAACGGGGTCATGCGGGGAGAGGGCTCAAAGTTGGCAACCATGTGTGTGTGTGTGTGTGTGTGTGTGTGTGTGGAAAAAGTTTACACCGTCTCAAGTCAACTCTGAATCCCATGAACTTTTGTATATACTAAAATTCAGGTATTTTTGGGGGGAGATGTACTGTATATCTCAACACACCTACACTTTCTACCTGGTTTAGCCTACATGACACTGGCGTAGACTCACAGACACACTACACCACCACACACAGGGTCCATAAAAGAGTATCGTGCCAACTCTGGACCCCTGACACCACTCTTTAATTAGAAACAATTCTTTTCGTGATTCCTAAAATACATTTTCTGAACCGTAATCTCTATAATCCTCGGTACATGACTAGTTTCCTCCAAATTATGTCTTTTTCTTTTTGGTTCCTTTAATCCATTATCTTAATTCTGTATTTTCTAAACATTTACGACATATCACAAAAGTTTCACAAGTCTCTCTCCTTTCATTTACAGCAGTCTCTTTTTCTCTCCCTCTCTCTTAGTAACCTCCCAGCAGGAACGTGGCGTCCCCCGCGGTGTCGCATCCTGGAGCCCCGCCAGCAGCACCAGCAGCTTGTCATCGGCGGGACGAGACAGCGGCGGCGGCGGCGGTGGTCTCGTCACGCTCCGCCCGATACACTCTGTTCCACACATTTTACCCCTACTTGTGGCTACAATGACAAGGCGTGGCGGGGATCATGGGGAAGGGAGAGGGGTGTAAAGGGGATAATATGGAGGTAGGAGAGTTGGGAAGGAAAGGGAAGGAGCGTAGTGGGGATAATAAGGAGGTAGGAGAGTTGGGGAGGGCAGGTAGAGGGAATAATAAGGAAGAAGAATGGCTGGGGAAGGAAGGGAAAGGGGTGTAGTGGGGATGATAACGAGGTAGGGAAGGGACAGAAAGGGGGTTGTGAGATAAGGGAAAAAAGAGGGAGGAAATGAGATGATTCGCTTTATTCTAGGTATTTTACCCCAGGTTGTGGTCACGGTGACACGACGTGGTGGGGATTATAGGGAAGGAAAGAGGGGACAGGGATAAGGAAAGGGGGAGAAAAGGGGGGGTAGAAGGAGAGGGAGAAAGGACAGGAAATACGATGATGGTCTTTGTTCTACGCAAGTTAACTTACTTGTAATAAACGATGACAAGACGCAGTGTAGACCCAAAGGTTGAGATAAGGGAAGGGTGTAAGGGGAGGAAGAGGGGGAAAAGGAGGAAGAGGAGGAAGAGAAGAGGAGGAAGAGAAGAGGAGGAAGAGGAGAGGGGGAGGAGGAGGAGGAGGAGGAGGAGGGAGAGGAGGAGGAGGAGGAGGAAAAGAAGAGGTAAAAGGGGGTAAAGGGAGGACTGGAGGCAGGAGACACAGTTATATATATTTTACTATTTGTGGTTATGGTGACGAGGCGTGGCGAGATCAGGGGATGGGACAGGGATATAGAAGGAGGAGGAAGGGAAGGGGAATGAGGAGGAGGAGGTGGAAAGTATTGGTTTTTGGAAGGACTAAGATGGGAGGGAGGGTTATTAGGGAAGATATAAAACGGGGGATAAAGGAGGCGAAAAGGTAACAATGGATAATGCGTAAGAAGAAGAATGGAAAGTAAGGAATAACTCGACATATAAACTAAAAGGATTAAACTATTATTCTCTTCAAGGCTGTGGATAAGAAGAAAGACATAGAAGGAAAAATAGACGAGAAAGGAGGAGAGAGAAGGACAATATCAACAAGGATGTGGGAAGAAGGAAAAATGGTCAGGGAAATAAAAAATGGAGAGAAACGAAAGGGACTATGATAACATTCCCTTTGTTTACCCATAAATCCGTCTTTACCGCTCACGAACACCCTCTTGTACCCATCACCGCCACCACCACCACTATAGTACTAAACTTGTAAGAAAAGTTCCCTCAGTTGCCAGAACAAGAAATGTCATAATTTTAGATCTCCACAAAAACAAACATATATATCTGTCTATATAAATCATATGTTAAGTTATCTAGGATGAAATATTTCCTCCTTCAAGTCTCTCTCTCTGGGAATATTCAACTTGCCTGTCTTGTAAATCTTTTGTTTTATCACTGTAAGGTTAAAAAAATTTCCTTTTAAATCTGTGTATGTGTTTTACGAGCTGTTGTGACGGCTGGGCGCCCACTAACACAGCGTGACGCCACCACACCACCTCCTCCACCACCACCACACACACAACCATCGTGTCCTCGACGGTTTATTTCGTGTTAGCAATTTTATGAAAGCTAAACTCAAGAAAAAATCTAGAATTTAAATACTCTCTCTCTCTATATATATATATATATATATATAGTGCACAAACCCTAAAAGAAGTGGTCACAGTTATAAAGAACCGAAGAAAAATATTCCCCCAAATTAAAACAAGAACAAATTAAAGTTGACAAAGTACCAACTTGATAGACACAGATCAGAAGTTCAAAAGCAAATACCTAGTATAAAGACGGTGATTAATACTGTGCGTCATCTTTAAACACCAAAATGATAAAGTAAAATTGAAGGCGTCTCCTCCTCATAACTGGAGAGGCCGACATTAGTACCTACCTCGGCTGTGGAGAATATTACTTAATGTCTATAACACAACACGAGGATAACAAACCTCGTCATGGAAGAAGTAATATTCTCACAGACCTCAGGAAAAACTCGTGTAAAAGACAAAATCAAATCTACAACATAATGATAGAACACTTAAAAAAGGTTCTGTTTACAAACTGGAAGATCAATGAACTATTAAGAGGACAAGAGAGGACCTCCTCGCCGGCCAGACAATAAAGCTGGAGGCGTGAACAGTCTCCAGAACACCTCACTACTGGCGGCACAAAGACCCGGAGTGTCAACACCACCAAGAACATTAATCATCCACAAGGAACAATGGCTTACCGCCTCACCACAGATAACCACCACCGCCAACACCACGCTAAATGAAGACTCTCACGCCAGCCTCGGTGATGTCTTCCTGAGGGTGACGGTACTCGTACAGGAGGAGGATTTAGGAAGAGAAGCGTACTGTAGTGGATTTTGAGAAGGATGCCTAAGGATGACTCTGAAGGTCACAAAATGTCCCTAGTAATTAACACCTGCCTAGTAAAACAGTAAAATCCAAATAAATTCATCTTTGGATAAGACGTAACACCCGACTAGGAGGAGGGTGACAGTCTCCCTCCCCAGGAAGGTCCTTGAGTAGGAAGATGACAGCAATAGGCTTAAGTAGGAGTGTTTGGATATCCCCAGCAGGCAGATGCTCGGAGGCAGAGTCCGGATAGAATACAACAGGACACATTGGACAGCCCCTCGTGGCAGGTCCTCCGTCAAGAAGACCCTCGCAGAAGGACGAGACAAGGAGACAGGAGGAGGAGGGCTGGCGGAGGTCTCCCAGGAGTTGAGGACAGTGACGCAGGAGTGGCGGAGAGACAAAGGCGACTCATCGTCCTAATGGTGCGTCCAAGAGCGACCATCAGGACGCTCCTGCAACAATGTCTCACACTCTACAAATGAGGGCTTCCCCAAGACAATGCTGACCCGCTGCAGTGTGTGTAATGGACCGTAATATTGCGTGTGGGAAGGAGGAGGGCTGGACCTCGTCCCCACCACCACCACCCCCCCTGTACACCACAAGTAACACTGTGTGTACATGACATGATGCTGCCTAACCAAGCTGTGCCGCCTTCCCTTACCACGCCACGCCGTCTTGTCATGCCCTGTTCACTATGCCACACCACGCTGCCTCGCCACATCACGCCGCCTTGTCATGCCATGCTCGTAATGTCATATTACGCTGTCCGGCTAAACCACACTGCCTCGCTAGACCACACTCTCGCTGCAACCACAATGTCTGCTACAACCACACTGCCTAGTTATAACCACACTGCCTCGTCACAACCACACTGCCTCGTCACAACCACACTGTCTCGTTACAACCACACTGCCTCGACATTTTTTAAATGTTTGAGTTGGCGAGCGATTCTTCCTTCCCCCTCCTCTTCTTCCTCCTTCACTCCCGCATCCTTTTCTTCCTTCTCTGACTGCTCCACTTCCCCCTCTCTTCTCCTTTCCCTTTACCTTGCTGCTCCTTTCTCCTTCTCTCACCCCTTCCCCATCTTCTACTTGTCATCCTCCCTCATCCACTCTACCCTCCTAAATGACCATTCTCTCTTCTCCTCCTCCGTCTCCATCTCCCCCACTACCTCCTCTTTCTCCATCGCCTCCTCTTTCTCCCTCTCCTCCTCCTTCATCTCCACTTCCTCCCCCTCCTCCCCGCCCCACTCCTGTCTACCCCTACACAGCTCCCACTCACTCCACCCCCATCTTCTCTACCCATACCCCCTCCTCCCCCCCAACATACATCTCATAAAATAATCTTTGCGGTAAAAACAACTATTAACAATGTCTAAATGGTCTCAGGTGCATAGTTGAAAATAAACTAATTCAGGAGGAAATATATTCACATATTCATACTACAAACTTATATCCTTGTAGGCGTGTGACTCTTGAAGGTAAAACTACGAATCCGTTTTTTTCATACATATTAATAGTTAATTTTCTCTAAGTTCTTTAATTAATATATTCAGCGAGTCTGGGATCCTCCTTTAATGACTTGTCTGATGATGAGTTATAGTCGTGTGGGTTATTTATTTTGTTTTGTATTTCCAGTGTAGTCTATGGTCGCTAAGGATCACCAGTTCTTGTTTATGTATGTGTGTGTATGTATAGTTCATCTAAAATAACTTCCAACACACGTGGGAGGACAACACACACACAGGACCAAAAAATTCCAACACAACTTAACGCATATGTGAAAGTGAACAGAGAGAGAGAGAGAGAGAGAGAGAGAGAGAGAGAGAGAGAGAGAGAGAGAGAGAGAGAGAGAGAACTGATGAAGGACAAAAGGAGACAAAGGGAAGATAGAGAAAGAGAGATATATATAAATCAGGATTTTCAAAGAAAGGAGAGAGAGAGGGAGGGGAGGGAGGGAGGGAGGGAGGGAGAGAAAGCATAAATCAAGGTTGGTGAAAGAATGGCGAGTGAAGTGGATTAAAATTTGCGAGGAGATTTGCGAAAAGGGATGAGGCAGAACGAAGGAGAGGAGAGGAGAAAACATACGGAGGGGATGAGGGGAGAGAGAAAACAGAAAGGGTAAGAAAGAGAAAGGGGAGAGAGGAGACAGAATACAGGAGAGGGGAGAAAGAGGAGAGCAGGAGGAAGGAGAGATAGAGGAGAGAGACGATGAGAAAAGATAAAGAGAAGAAGAGATGGGGAAAAGAAAACATACAGAGGAGAGAAAAAAGGAGATAAGATAGAGGAGGGGAAATGAGGAGAGAGAGAGAGAGAATATGAGAGAGGAGAGGAGGAAGGGAGGAAAGAGGACCCTATATATATATATATATATATATATATATATATATATATATATATATATATATATATATATATATATATATATATATATATATATATATATATATATATATATATATATATGTGTGGAAGAGAAAATAAAATTGAAAAACATGAGTTACGATTTAGGGAGAGAGGGAAGGAGAGTAAAATGGGAATGCAATGTAATGAATAAATGAGAGTTGGTTATGTATTTGTATTGTTAGCTGTATTGTTGTATTTACGTAATTTTTCGTTTGTATTTCTTATTATTATTATTATTATTATTATTATTATTATTATTATTATTATTATTATGATGATGTTCGTATTTTCCGTAATTTTTATATTTTATATTTTTTTCGTATTCCTTTTCGTCTGTGGTGTGCATCATTCTCTTAATACTGTATTATTTTATGTATTTTTCTTTGTATTTTTGTATCTATTTTGCATTAATTTTGTACACTGTAAGGGAAAGAGGAGAACGGAGGGAAGGAAGAGAGTGGGAGAGGGGGAAGGGAGGAAAGAGAGGAAGAGAGAGGGAAGGGGAGGACTGAGAGAGAGAGAGAGAGAGAGAGAGAGAGAGAGAGAGCCAAGGGGGTGGTGCCAAGTCATAACTGTGGCACCTATGGTCAATGAAGCCGAAAGTAATGAGGAAAATTTCAAAATCAATAAGACGATTGATGGTGAGCCGGACCTTCCTTCCCCAGCCTCCCTTCCATTCCCCCCTTCCTCCTTACCTGCCTTCCCTTTGTCTCTCCTTTCCCCCACCGCCCCTCCACCACTCCTCTCTGTGTCTCTCGCCAGGGTCAGGGTCAGGTCTCTTGGGGGTATTAAGTCACTAAGAACGATTACATTAATAATAATAATAATAATAATAATAATAATAATAATAATAATAATAATAATAATAAATAATTACGGTATTAAGATCAGTTTTATTCTTCATATAATTGCCCTGATAAATATCATACTAATGCTATACCGTAATTATCATTAATAGCATCATGATCATCACTAAGCTGCACTTTATTATTATTATTATTATTATTATTATTATTATTATTATTATTATTATTATTACTAAAGTCGGTAATGGAGCCTTAAGTACACACCTGGCTCCCTCAACACACGTGGTTCTTCAAAGTCTTCAGCAACAACCTAACCTGCTTCCGGTCACTAATACGGGTTCATTTGGTATTTACCTGGTGCTTACCTGATGCTGGGGGCTGTTGAGTCTGGTGAAGGAGGGGGGGGGGGGTCGTTGCACATGTTTATGAGGAGGGAGAGGGAGAAGTGTGAGGAGGAGGAGGAAAGGAGGTGTGAGGAGGTAGGAGAATAGAGGTAAGGAGGCTGGAGAGAAAGGTGAAGAGAGGGGAGATGTGAGGAGGGAGGAGGAGAGATGTGAGGAGGGAGGAGGAGAGATGTGAGGAGGGAGGAGGAGAGAGGTGAGGAGGGAGGAGGAGAGAGAGGTGAGGAGGGAGGAGGAGAGAGGTAAGGAGGGAAGAGGGAGAAGTGAGGTGGGCCGAATTGTAACTCCTTGTACCGGATTATAATGACTTACTTAGGTGAACCCTCACTGGAGAGAGAGAGAGAGAGAGAGAGAGAGAGAGAGAGAGAGAGAGAGAGAGAGAGAGAGAGAGAGAGAGAGAGAGAGAGAGAGAAAACAATATAAGATACACAGTAAAGAGTAGGAAACATAAGGCAACAACCTTCCTTTACACTGATCAACAATATAATTAGCACAAAGCTGATGATCAAAGTGTGAGATAACCTCCCAAGCTGATGTTCAACTAAGCTTATCACAACCAACTCGACAAAATGATCAAACAAACTTTTTTTCTGACCGCAACTAAACAAAGCTTTTAAGTCAACTACTTTTAACCAACCTGATCCACTCACGAGTCTCACATCCTCTAAATAAGATGCTGAATATTCCTCCTGGCCGGCCGTCTCCCCCTCAGGTCCAGTCGGCCGAGCGTGAGACGAGACAGAAGTATACGTCTAGCATGAGAGATGCAGATGACGGTTCACTGACAGCCTTCCTCAGACCCCTCCCTCAGTTACCCCATCCCCACCATCAATCTCCTCCTCTCCTTCACCATCCTTCTATCAATCATTCTCTATTATTATTATCTTCTTCCTCTCTCCTCCTCATCCCTGTTCTGCTCCTCACCCACCTCTCTCCTTCCCTTTTCCCTCTATTCCCCTCATAACGTTCCCAATCACATCTGCCATATTTTCTACTTCTGTCCAAGTCTTCACTCTTCTAATAATATTCATCTTCTTGTTCCTGCAATTCCTTCTCACCGTGCTATTCCCCTCTCTCTCTCTCTCTCTCTCTCCAGTCTCTCCTTCACCCCAGTTCCTTCCTCTTATTCCTTTCCCTCACATTCTGCAGACCTGCCCCCCCCTCCTCACCTACCAAACTCCACACTCCACCTTCACCAATACGATACTAAGACAATCAAACCCCCTTGAGTACGATTCTAATCCTTCTTGTGTATGAGTTCCGATCTAACCGAGTAGTCTGAAACCTCGTGAATCCTTGACTTTAGTATTTAAGGAGTCTGGATTCCTTAAGAGGCTTCCATCCCTCCTCCAGTACAATGCTAAGTTCTCGTGAGTATGTGTCCAATGTCACTCATCTATGAAGCCGAAATATTTCAAGTACGATTTCTGGAATACCTGAAGTCACCCTGAATATGACCTTTGGGTTGCCAGAAGCCCTTGACTACGATGTTTGACTCCATTAGTACGATAACAAACACCTCCTCAAACATGATGCCTGAAGTCTCTGTGTACGATGTTTACAGCCCTCAAGTACGATGCCCGAATCCTTCGAGTATACGATCCATGAGTTAATCAAGTACGATGCCTGAACCCCCATGAGTACGATGCTTACACCCCTCAGGTATATACGATGCCCGAAGCCCTTAAGGATCATCCATGGACTTCTCAAGTACAATTCCAGAAGCCCTTTTATGCAGACAAAACGTGAACCCAAAGGCGACCTTCTTTTTAGTGGGACAGTCTTGCAACAACCAGCCCTCATGACGACAACAACAGTCATAATGGTACTATGGAGCACGACAAACTTGAGGGGAGTTCCAAGTAGCAGCAGCACGAACCATTGACCACGGAGCATCAAGCACGGAGCGTCGACCAGGCAGTCAAGCACGGAGCATCGACCATGGAGAATCAAGCACGGAGCAGAGTCTCGGTTACTCCACATTGTTTACTTGTTGGTGTCTCACAATGGAGGAAAATCAGGAACACATACCAGGGAAATAGGACGTTATTGTTGGGAAGCCTGACGTGTTTGTCCTCTTTTTTGTGTGCGGCTAATGATGACAACGTCTTGAGTATCGCCTGTAGTCAACCTGTGACCTGGCCTGAGTCCTCTCTTGTTGTTGTCGATAATGGGTTTGACTATACTAGGGTGTATGTATAGTGGGGTGTACTAAACCATATTTTGGAGTCTTTCTCTCTTTCTTTAATTCTATATCTCCATCTAATATAGTCTCTCTCTCTCTCTCTCTCTCTCTCTCTCTCTCTCTCTCTCTCTCTCTCGACGTCCTGGGCTAGGCAACTCGTTAGTGATATTAATAATCACATGAAATACGGTGAGTCAGGCGCTGGGCTCCAAGCAGGCGGGTGGCGAGAAGGGCGAATTTCTACTTTCACAGTAGGGAGATTATAAACCTTGTGGGAGATGATGGTTTAGCATTATCTTGGGTTTGTAAAAGGAGTCTTGGGAGTGAAACGTCTTTTGCGACAAATCAAAAAAGAATTTGGAGAGAGAGAGAGAGAGAGAGAGAGAGAGAGAGAGAGAGAGTTATCATCAGTCGAAACACCAGGAGGGAAGGATGGAGGGAGGGAACCTCATCACTGGGTCGTGCTAAGATGGTGGAAGAGACGAAGGAAGGAGGTAACAAGAGAGGGTAGGAAGAAGGGAAGGGAGGAAGAAAGAAAGGTTGAGGAAGAAGATGGTAAGAAGGAAGTGGAGGAAGAGGAGAAAGACAAAAGCGATGGAAGAGGAAACAAAAAAAGACAAGGATAAGGTCGAGAAGGAAGAAGGATGTAAGAGGAAAAGGTCAGAAAGAGGAGGAGGGAGGAAAGCGAAGAAGGGAGGGAGAGGGGGAGCGGGCAGGAAGGGAGAGAGAGGGCAATTAGTAGATTCCCCTCATCAGTGGGTTGTATTTAGCTGCGTGAGGGGAGGAAGGGGTGAGGGTGGGTGATGAGGAGGAGGGAAAAGGAATAGGTGAAAATGAAAGAGGAATACGAGAGGAAAGAGAGTAGCGCTTTAAATACATCCGTTGGTGAACCGAGAGAGAGAGAGAGAGAGAGAGAGAGAGAGAGAGAGAGAGAGAGAGAGGAATAAATAGAAAGGAGATAAACATGCAAATGGGAATAAGAGAGGTAGGAAAGGCGAGAAGATGAGAGACAAATGAGAATAAAAATATCATGTCAAGGAGGGTGGGATAGACGAGGACAAGAACAGAGAGGAGAGGAGAGAAGGGGAGAGTGAGAATGGGAAAAGGGGGAACAGAAGGAAGAGACGATAAATCAGAAATAACGGGACGGAGGAAAGAGCTGGAATAAGAGGTAAATAAGAACACGCGACGCAATGACCAATGAGATAACTCCTTACATACAACTAGCTTTCTCATTGGTCTATTAATACTGTGGACAAAGTGTTCACCAATCAGGTGCTTCCTTTAGCAGACCTTGTTACCTGGGTGGCTATTAATTATGACGATGTATTGTTGGCTAATTAGCCTAGTAGAGTTACCGTTCGGTGATCAATCAGAGAGCATTCGTTTAGCACTGTTACTCCTCTCATTGGGCGTTAAACTGGTGACCAATCAAAAGCCTCCTTTACCATGGTTCCGTTGTGTGTGGTTCATTTACGATCCAACAAAACTGTGGCCATAAACTGGGTCAACTACAACACAACTCGTTAGCGCGACACAAATCTTTTTATTCCAGGATGTAACAAAACACGAGGAAAAAATACAAGTGGACAATAATACTGACGCGACACTACAACACAAAACACTATACTGGGGAAAAATAGGAAATAAAACGGGAAAGTAATATTTGTGTACACCGACGAGGGAAATATATACAGTACAGGTGAGTTACGGACCATGGAAACATTTATTAACTCTAATACAAGTTGACTATGATCTGATACTTGTACCCATATTATTATTATTATTATTATTATTATTATTATTATTATTATTATATAAAACATTGCCACGATGTTAAGTATTAAACAAGTGATTAAGTCTTAAAAACCCCACTAACGTTTTTACCAATTAGAGATAACTTTTCTATTTGTTTTTACTTTTGTAACGTAATGTAATGTACACTAGCTATACAGGGTAAAATTTATTGTCCCACTTAAAGCGTCGTTTACTACTGTGTAACTTCACATACACACACACACACATATATATATATATATATATATATATATATATATATATATATATATATATATATATATATATATATATATATATATATATATATATATATATATATATATATATATCTTCCGCAACTACAAGAAGAGTTTGCTGAAGGCTCATAGTCTCAAAAACAAGTTGAAGTTTTTGAAAGATTGCAGAGATGATAAAATTGTTCCCAAGTCCTGTCTTCCAAGTAGACTAAGAAATCTGGACAATCAAGCATTCTCTGAGTTGGATAAGGTGTTGCTAGATTCCCTTATCAAGAGTTCAAGTGATAGTGTGAAATTAGCCTTCATGCACAGTGCTCAGTGTAAAATACTTATGCAAAACAGTGTTTGTGTTGATAAGTGGCACACCATTCGTGATTTTGTATATCAACTTCTTAGTGAAACTGACAAAGCCCAAAAAAGAAGGTTAAATGCCAAATTAAATGCTCTGTTTGACGAGAGTTACTGGACCATATTGAGTGATCCAAATTTGTTCATAAACTTATCATCTTATGATCTACAGACAAATGAGAAACTTGTTCTTGGTTTTGGTAGGAAGTTTTCTATCACTCAACGGTGCGTTAATCCGCTTACTATTGCTAAAGGTTTAATCAACCTGGAAAAGATGAAGTCGTCTGATGTTACAAATGAAGATATTTCCATAGCTAAAGGTTGTATACATAGTGTTTTAAATAAGAAATTTGCTTCAAACATTCCAAAAAGATTTGAAACAGCCTTGATAAACTTGAAAAGAAATAAGAATATCCATATTACCAAGGCTGATAAGTCTAATGCTATTGTTATCTTGGATAAAAGTGACTACAATGATAAGATGAATTCATTACTTAGTGATGAAAGCACGTATTGTGAGCTTACGAAAGATCCCCTGGAAAATATTAATAAGTTATCTAATTCCAAAATGAAGATGTTATTGAAAAAGAACCCCGATCTCACTAAACAGCTCTCTCAAATCAATCCCACTTTACCTTATATGTATGGATTGATCAAAACACACAAGCTTAATAATCCATTACGTCCTATCGTGAGTTCTGTGGGTTCTGTTACTTACAAATTATCCAAGTGGCTGGTAAAGATGATATCCCCTCTTACAGGCCAAATATCTAATTCACATATACGCAATAGCAGTGATTTAATTGATAAACTCAAGAAACACAACGAACCTTGCGAATTAATAAGTTTTGATGTAAATTCACTGTTCACTAGAGTACCTGTGAAAGACTTACTTTCATTTCTTAAAGATAAATTACAACTGCTAGATTTAACTATTGAACATGATACTTTCCTGAAATTGATAGAGTTATGCGTAACTGACAATGTGTTTAGTGCAAATGGGAAGTTCTACAAGCAAGTATTTGGCATGAGCATGGGTAATTGTCTTTCTGCTCCTCTAGCCTGTATTTATATGGAGTTCTTTGAGTCTAGATTACTCCCCAATGTAGTGGACTGTATTCCTCCTTGGTATAGATATGTAGATGATGTTCTTTGTCTTTGGCCTAAAAACAGTGACCCTTTGGAATTTTTAGACAAGCTTAATAATATTGTCCCTAGTATCACATTCAAAATTGAAAGAGAAATAAGTGAATCCCTTCCATTTCTTGATATGCTTATCATGAGAAATGGCCAAAACTATAAATTTAAGGTATATAGAAAGCCCACACAGGTAGACAGTTTCATTCACTTTTTATCCAATCACCTTGAGTCTACCAAAATGTCAGTTTTTTCTGCTATGTTCCTACGATGTCTGCGTATTTGTGACTCTGAATTTATTGACGACGAATTTAAACACATTCGTTCTATTGCACAGAAACTTGGGTACCCTTCTGTGTTTGTTGATCGTTGCTTTAAAAGGGCTAAAAAATCCTTTCATTCCTCTGTAACCAGACAAGTTCCTACACTTAAGAATATTTTGACTCTGCCCTATCGTGATGAATTTGTCCCTTTAGTTCGGTCCCTCAAGCTTCTAAATATTAATGTTGTTTTCAAGTATGACTCAACCATTACCAATATGTTAATAAGGAATAGCCCAAGTTTGAATGTAAATGGAAGTGTTTATTGTATTCCATGTAGCCAATGTAATTGTAATTATGTAGGTCAGACAGGAAAAACACTGCAGCTCAGAATCAAACAACATAAGTATAATATCAGAACTGCATCTGAAAGCAGTGCCTTGTTCGTTCATGTTAGGAATAATAATCACCCCATTGCTTGGGAAAAAAGCTTAGAAGTATTCAAATCATCTTGTGTCACAGAAAGACTTCTGGTTGAAGCTAGTTTGATTAAGGAATTAAAATC